GAGACTTAGCTAATGGGGAGATAAAAGTCCCAAGTGTAGGATATGTAGCCAGATGAAGCAGCGGAATTGGTACCAAGAGTGCTAATTATGGGATCCATAGAAACCCACTGGATGTCCTCAGGCAGTCTCACTCTCTCACCCTCAGTGGAGGGCAAGGGAGGCAACACTCTTCACCTCCAAAAGGCACAACGAGGGCCACTTTTCCCAAAGCATGCCTGTGTTTGTGTGTGCAAAAGGGAGGGACTTACGCGGGGTAGTCGGGCACGATCCCCTTGGAGGCCGGGAGGCTGCAGACATATTCGTTGTAGAGCCATTTCACCTTGAAGTGCAGGTTCATGTAGTCGGCGCTCTTGCACAACCGGTGCCGCTCGTGTTCTGCGGGAAAAGCAAAACGGGAAAGGAAGAGGGGGGAAGGAAGTCATGAGGAGGGCACATCAAGGGGGCCCTTCCCCTCCACAGGACCTCCACCCATGCATCTGGCTGTCAGGAGGGTCAGGGCCAAGGCTGTAGGAGCCCTTTTGCTGCACAGGGCCCCGGGAACGAGGGCGAAATACCTCACCATTCAGTAGCCTGAGCCCCAAGGATGGTTTCCCAGGAAGGCCTTCAAAAACAGACGGGGAAAGCAGGGGGGCTCGTCTCAAGGGCTAGAGGTCACCATGAAGGTCAGCCGCCAAGTGAGGACCCAGGACACCCCCTGTCCACACAGGGAAGTGACCTCGCCTTCCAGGCTTTGAGTCCACCCACCCCAATAGGTTCACAGAATTATAGATGGGACCCCCGGGGCCCTCCAGTCCACGAGTGGGAAACCGCCGCCCCCCACTCTGAACCACAAAGTGTCCAGGTGACACTCAGACGCCCCCAACCCCCCCCCCCCAAAGGCTCCTTCTGGGCCCATTCCGAGGCTCCCTTCACCCACAGAAAGAGCGACCTGCATTGGATGGCAAATAACAAAGGCAACCTCAGCGTCCCCATTTAATAACGCAGGGATTTTCTTTGCACTCGGGAAGGACAAAGGTGAGCCACACCAGATTCTCCCTGGCTGTTGTGGCTGAGCTAGTTTCTGACGATGAGGATGATGGGATTCAGATTCCTGTTGGGTTTCAGCTTCCTGGCTCTTTGTCTGTGCCTCAAATCTCTGAGCCTGCTTCTGAGGCTCTCGCAGACAGTGCAGTGTCAACACAGCTGTTTTCACCAGAAAGGGATTTTAACGAAGGGAATAGCGGCCAGGTGCCTTCCCACGATGATATCGAAAGTATAGATATATAAGGATTTGACCCGAGAAGCTCGCCTTGATCTCTGGGTCAGGGTCAGTTCGCGTCTGGCAAGCAGACAAGAAGCCAGCTTGGTGAAAGGTCGTCGCAATGCTTTTATGATGCTGAGAGCCTAATGTTTTCATGTTAGAAAGGTATTTAGGCCTCCTGGAAACTCTGAGAAAGTGTCAGTTCAATGTAGCTTACTATCCTGAAAGCTTCATGGAATAACCTTAGCCTGGAGAGGAGTACGCTTGGGATTTCTTGCATTGTGATTCTTGGGGCAAATGTTTCCTGGCTTGTACTTGGGACTCTGGTTTGAACTTTGCCAATAGGATTATGCCTCCTGCTTTTACCTGAAGATCTTTGGAACTGTATCCTGCATTTAACCCTAATCTTTGGAACTTTGCCATGCTTACTCTTTATTTTGACTTGGATTTTTTCCTCAATAAACTGTAAAACTACAGCTCTTGTGTGGTGGTGTTTGGAAGCAAGGTGAAGCCTACTCTGAGTTGCAACCTTGGCTCAACTCCGCATGTGCATGTGCATGTGTGTGTGGCCTGTGTGTGGGAGACCAGCTCAGCAAACACTTAAGGGTTGGAACTAATGTATAACGGGATGCCCACCATCCTTTGGACCTGGAACATTAATGGCTCCTCCATTTCATTTCAGGAGCCTCAGGATGAAGGAATCACGAATGCAGATCCAGCCGCTGCTTCAGACCAGAGCGGTCAGTCTGCAAAACCGGGGACATTGGAAGGATCCCTACGGAATAGTGCCGAGGCGGTGATGGCCTTTGATGTATTTATTTCTGTCACCACAAACGGCCTTTAAGGGCGAGGCCCGGAAGCAGTGACCGCTTCTACCACTTAGGCCCAACATTCAAGGACCTTGGACACAGAAGGTGCAGGCTCCAAATCCAATTCAAAAGATGACCTCATGGTCTGAAGACGGAGGAGGTATCCCTACCAAACTAATGGATCTGGCAGAGCCCTCCTCGTCCCCTGGAAGCGAGGAAGTCTATCGGGAAGAAGGACCTCCTAAAATCAAGCCTGGTTCGTATTCAGCACCAGAAGAACCTGAGTGGACCAGCACTGGAGCCGGAGCTCAGAAGCGCTGTGGCAAGAGCCACAATCAACGCTGGTGGGTGAAGGATTTGGGAAGAAGCGACAATGGAGGAGGAGGAGGAGGAGGACGAGGGAAGGAAGGGTTGGACAGAAATGGCAAAGCATTTCTAACAATAGAAAGGGAAAAAAACGTTTGACGAACATGTTGACAGCACCTGGGGATGACTGTGAATGCCATGAGGCAATAACTAAGGGGGTGTGGAAGTGGCTGAGTCACAACCATATGAGGGTGACTGCAAAGGGGCCGCATCAGCCAGGGCCCCTCACGGATGACCTCTCAGAAGGTGGAGTATGAGGAGGGCCAAAGGTTCCACCTTCCTCTCTCCTGGGTGACTCAGCGTGAGCATCTGCCTAGGTTGCATGGGACTATTTGATTACGCTGATTGCTTGCAAGTGCAAGGACGGTGGATCTGCAAATCCTGTTTGTATAGTGGGTTGTTGTAGGTTTTTTCGGGCTATATGGCCATGGTCTAGAGGCATTCTCTCCTGACGTTTCGCCTGCATCTATGGCAAGCATCCTCAGAGGTAGTGAGGTCCGTGTGTCATCGAAAATGGCTACGCGTTTCAGTGCTGACACACGTGTCATAGGTTCGCCATCATGCCTCTAGACCATGGCCCTATAGCCCGAAAAAACCTACAACCCAGTGATTCTGGCCATGAAAGCCTTCGACAATACCTGTTTGTATATTTTTATATAATAATAATAATAATAATAATAATAATAATAATAATAATAATCTTTTTTTGTATCCTGTCCCATCTCCACACCAGGGTCTCAGGATGGCTCACAACACAAATGGCAGCCATTCGATGTCAGAAGTGCACAGTAAATGAAACAAGTAAACAAAGCAAAGAACAACAAAGCAACATTATATATTGCAGCTGTGAAGGTTAAAGCTTCAGGATATTTTGGACGAAAACTTAAATCCGTGAGTTTACTAATGAGCTGAGTATTAGCTGCATTAAGATCACTCTGACCAAAAGGTCATGAGTTTGAAGCCAGCCCAGGTTGGAGTGGGCTTGCAACCAATTGTGTGTAGCCTGTTGTCGACCTTTGCAACCCGAAAGACAGTTGCATCTGTCAAGTAGGAAAATTAGGTACCACCTTAAGGTGTGGGGAGGCTAAATTAACTAATTTATGAGGCCATAAAAAGACTCCAGCAAAGCATTCCAGCGGGGAAGCATGCGGGGAATGCGGAAGTGCTTCATCAGTGTCGCAGATGGACGAGGAAAGCAACATCTCCCCGGCGGCCAGAAAAAGTTAAATAGCCTCTCTGTATGTCTGTATATGTTGTATGTCTAATTGGCATTGAATGTTTGCCATATATGTGTACACTGTAATCCACTCTGAGTCCCCTGCTATGGGGTGAGGAGAAGGGCGGAAGAGAAAAGCTGTACATAAATAATAAATAAACAGTGTGTAGATAAGGTTGGACGCTGGCAGATGGACTCTGCTGATAAACGGGCTGAAGCGTGTTTGTACCGTGAAAGGACTCTGCTGTATTTTTGCTTGCTTCTGGGACACTTGCTATCCCGCTTGCAGCGGTTCAGGAAGGTTGTGATTTGGAAACTATACATCACTTTGGGAACCACATCCTGCAGCAGGAATCATGACTGGAACCGGACTGTCCAGAGAGACGATCCCTAAAGCAGAGCAAGTGAGGAAACCGGAAGCATTTGGGGACGTGTAGTGGAGGCAACGTTGACGGAGTGAGTTGTAAGAACTACAACAACCAGCGAGGAAGAAGGAGGCTTAGAAACATGGCGGGTGTGAGCAAAGAGAGATGGGAGGCCGTCTCCACAGGGCAGGAGGCCGCCAAGATTGAGAGGAGCCAGGCCAAGATGGGGACGGAGGCAGATGGACTAAAGGGATCCCCAAAACACCTGGAGCCAGAGATGAGTCCTGCCTCCAAAAGCCAGAAATGAAAGGAGAAGCCTGTGCCTTTGTTTGTGTTTGTATGTCTCATTGTATATGCTTGTAAAGGCACTGAATGTTTGCCTATGTATGTAAATGCTGTAATCTGCTCTGAGTCCTCGAGATATATATGCTGGATTTCGTATATAGTGTTTGCCCATGCCTGATATACAGGATGCTTGAGAGCAGGGTCGGCAAGGGGACCGCTCACTGAGACGGAGGCACCGATCATGGATATTGATGTAATTTGGAAACTATAAATCATGTGATCAGCATGACTGGAACCCACAGTGCAGGAGTCCGCCAAGATTGAGAGGAGCCAGACCAAGATGGGGATGGAGGCAGATGGACTGAAGAGATCCCCAAAACACCTGGAGCCAGAGATGAGCCCTGCCTCCAGAAGCCGGAAATGAAAGGAGGAGCCTGTGCCTTTGTTTGTGTTTGTGTGTCTCATTGTATATTATTGTAAAGGCACTGAATGTTTGCCTATGTTCGTAAATGCTATAATCTGCTCTGAGTCCCCTACTGACACAAAAACATAGTATGTCACACTAAATGAGAGATATATGCCTCTCCTATAGATATTAGATCGGCCAGTCCAGGTCAAAGAAGGAGAAGTCAAGTCAGGCAGTCCGAGCCACCAAAAAACAATCAAGGGAAGCTAGTCTGAGTGAAGGTTCTCTCGCTGCTGCTTCGATGGCGGATGAAGAGAACTGGAGGCTGTGGCCCCTCCCACTGGCTACTTATACTCAGAGGGGAGAGTGAGCGGGCCTACAGCCAGAAATGTTTAATAGAATTTCTAGAAGGTTCTGAAAGCTGTTCTGCTCTTGGGGTTCAGCCTGATCTGTGTGAACCTGATTCTCTGATAGTATTTCCAACTGAGCAAGCCACTGAACGTAGTTTTCCCTGACAATGTGGAAACTGGTGTTGATGCTGAGTTCAGCGGCGGGGAAAGCGAAACTGAACAGCCGGATGAAAATGTTTTGGAATCCAGCCGTGATAGCTCTCCACCTGGGTTTTTTAATGAGGACCGAAGGGAACAGATAACGAGAGACAGGAGTGATTCACAGTTCCTACGAAGGT